TGGCTAATTGACGTGAGATACTGCCAGAGTTCCTCATTCAACCAATCAGGTATTCGCAGATTTCGCGCGCGTAGCATCACTCGTCGCCACATCGTGAACTTCCTGGGGTACATTCTAACGAATATCTGGCCCCTCATACTGTACTCCGTCCCTGGGTTTCCCTCATATGCACCCTCATATGCTATGCACCCTCAAGGCTCTAAGAGAGTTACAACAGCAACCGGTAGCTGGGGATATCTTCCACGACAGCAAGCACAGGGCCCCGCTGAGGGAACTTATAACACACGAAGGGCACTGAGGTTCCTTGTGAAGGCACTGTGGTCTTCAAACCGTCAAGAACTTCGAGAGGCCAAAACGCTATCGCAGTGCTATTCCGGGCGAATCGTACGCTCTCGCGCGTTACTTGTGATTGTTTCGATTTGCAAAGGTTCAGGGTTAGTTCGGTTTGAGAAGCATTCCCTAGGAAATCCAGACGTCGAACGACGTTAAGCCCTGGAGCCTGCGGATAGACTTCAAATACTGCTACATACATGACGTGCATATTCAGTAAAGCATATTAGTAGCACTATCACAATGACATAAAGTTATGGTCCTTTCGAACGATAGTGCATGAGTTGGGGGCGTGGCTTGGAGCGCAGTCGGGGCAGATTTCCCCCCAAACTGTGGCCAGCTCAGGACGCCATCATTGGTGGAAAGGCCGACCTGGCTGCGTTCCAACCCACGCTGCCTCATACGCCCTATCGTTTTCAGGGATCATTTCTTAACTGTGTCGGTACATAAGTCAGCTGTAGTACCTGGTAGCACAACTCATCTGCCCTTCTTCAGACTCTCGTCGATAATATGCGGGCAGCCGATGTCGACAGAGCTGGACCGAATGACTTAAAACTGAACTGGGGCAATAAACAAGTCGGAGACAAAAAGAGCAGTCGTGACCCGTGCGTTGCGTTTTGATTTCCTTTTTTCTTCTATGTTTTTTCTTCTCAGGCAGGAAGCTGTCCCTAACAGACTTCGGGGATATGTATCTGAAGAGGGGTCGTTCTATAGGGATGCGAGCCATGGCATGTCTTCTCATTTACTTAATCAGACGTGCCCCTTCTCACCTATGCAGCTTGACTTATAGTTGATGTTGATGTGGTCACAATCCGGCAAATTGGCCTGCTCGCGTTTTCTACTGATAAGGGTCGGTTTGTATAATAGACAGCCTGCGATAGAAGACGCCGCGTGACGTGACGTGGCTGAGGTTTGTAAGAAGGTGACCCTTGCTCTAATTTCGAGCAATTTTCAGGCTGTTCGCCTACGTTAACGAGACACTTTTCAAACGGCCAGTCTATGCTACCTTGATCGAAGTGTACAACAGACATCTATACGACCCAGACGTCAGTTTACAAGATCAAGTACAATAACATGGCAGGTATCATACAAATGGAGTGCATTTGCCATAATGGAGCAAAGTGAAACCAACGCGTACAATCCGTATGCAGTCGCGTCGCCTTTCCGAACATGAAGCGAATTTTCCAAGAAATAGTAGGAAAATGGAGTAACACATTACGGATCTGTTTGCCCTGGACACATCACAGTACCTGGCCGAGATTCTTGCAAGCAAAGTTTTATCACTTGGTTAGGCGTGCAGGATAAAAATGACTAGTAGTAAAGAAAGTTAGCTCCCCAGCAGGCTAATTCTAAAAGCGTTTCACGTTTTCTTCGTATGATGCATTACAAGCGCATTGGCAAGGATCCCGGACACTG